GTTTTAAGGTATAATAGGTTTATTTCTTAAAAAGTAAGTTAAGTTAAATACTATAAAGTAGCTTTTAAGTAGTATTATAATAAGGCTATTAAAAGTATAACTCTTAATAATAAAACTATTACTTAAATTAATTAATAGAGAATTAAATTACTTAATTATAATAGAATATCTTCTTCTTAAGTACTTATTTATTTCTCTATTATCATTTTAAATTAATTAGCTTAATTATTAATTCTTTTAACTTCTTAATTAATTAGCTTAACCTTTAATTCTATTAAGTTTTATTTTAAATTATTAACTTAACACCTTAAGTCTTTAATTACCTTTTAGGTTACGTGGCTAGTCACGTGCCCTTACCTTCTTCTTATGCCTACGAGTCGTGCCTATCCTAGCCGGTGCGGTCCCGTCCCGTGTCTTGTGTAGTGTCGTTCGTAACATATAACCCTTAAATAATAGCTTATAAGTGAGCTAAAGAGAGAGAAAGCTAGTATTATACGATTATACGAGAGCTATAATTACGAGATTTAAGGTAAAGACCTTTACTAACTTCTTATATTTAAAGAGACCTTTTAATCTTTTAAGAACTTAAAAAACTAAGAACCTTTAATATTAAAGACTACTATTAAATAAATTAAGCTTTTAGCTTTAAGCTTTTCTTAAGCTCTTATTATAAATAATAGTCTTCTCTTAAAGGTATTCTTTTATTCTTAGGCTATTAAGCGAATAATACCTTTATTAGATTACTAAGAATATAAATTACCTCTTATTATACTAGTAAGTAATAACCCTACCTTTAACTAGATTTATAAGATATAAATTATTACTCTTATTATACTAGTAAGTAGTAACCCTGCCTTTAACTAGACTTATAGGAGGTAATAGTCTTACTATACTAGCAAGTAGTAACCCTATCTTTTACTAGATTTACGAGAGGTTATTCAAGTATTTTTACGCTAGCATTTAAAAACCTAACCTTAACTAAAACCTACGGTAAATATTATTATAACCCTTAAATAATAGCTTATAAGCGAGCTAAAGAGAGAGAAAGCTAGTATTACACGGTTATACGAGAGCTATAATTACAGGATTTAGGGTAAAGACCCTTATTAACTTCTTATATTTAAAGCGACCTTTTAGTCTCTTAAGGACTTAAAAAACTAAGGACCTTTAATACTAAAGACTATTATTAGATGAATTGAGCTATTAGCTCCGAGCCCTCCTTAAGCCCTTGTCACAAACACCTTGGGCTGCCGAACAATGGTTTATGATTAAAATAAATGCTTGATGGTTGTTAATTATCCTCTCTTTTTTTTCAAAAGGGGGGGACTCAACTTCAGACAAGGGCCATCTATTTGTAAAGTATACCAAATTTGAGACTAATTCTACAGCTCAGTGCTTAGTCTGTGTTGTCTCTCTCTAGCCAGTCATAGACCAGTCCCAATGCAGCTAGATCCTCCCCTTTCCTTGCAAGGAACTTGTTCCCTGGGTACCTCTTCCCATCTATCATGCCAAACCCCCAGACCTGCTCTGCTGTCCAACCGGCTTTTTTCATTCACTACCCTACCACAGTAGTCAGTAGTTTCCGTTCCCTGCCTCTGTTGTGCGACCAAAACCTAGCATGACACGTGCCGACGCGACTATCACTATTACGGACTGCTGGTCCCCGAGCCCCTGAACTATTTCCTCCATTAAATAATGCCAGTGTCAGTTACACCATGTCAACTTCTCAAGAAAAGGTTCTCGGCAGTCGATCCGAGGATGGGCCATGGCGCACGTGGCGCTGCCAGAATCGTCTGGAAACAAAAACATATACCGAGAAATCAGCAAGGCTCAGCTGAATGGAAAAGGGTCCGAGCTCGTCAGCACATTACGGCCGCATTCACAGAGAAGTTTCCCAGCTCTGCTGCTTTTTTTCATTCAAATTCACTTAGCTTCATCACAACCCAACTACCGCCACCACACTATTTCTTGCACCTTTTACGCGCACACCATCGTCTAAACTAGCGATACCCAAGTATGCCAGCAAAGCTGGAAACGACTGCGGCAGGTACAGCCGCACCCTCATCGGCGGCAGCGAGGCGACAAAGGAGTCCCGGGATTCGGATGGGCCCACAGGCGGCTCCGAAATCCCCGTTGGCGGCCACACAACGCCGGCGGTGCTCCATCTCCGTTTCCGGGCCACCCTCCTGGCCATTGGCTTCTCAGGTCTCCTCGGCGCGCTCGAAGCCACCATCACGTCGACGGCGCTGCCCACCGTTACTGCCGAGCTGGGCGGCGGCGATCTTTACATCCGGGCTATTAATAGCTACTTCCTGGCCATGTAGGTCAACTCTCGACGTACACGGCAGAATCCCAAGGCATGATGCGGCCTCCCTACCACTAGCCTATCAAAGTCCCGTGTGCTAGCTGGTTGGGATGGAATGCAACAGGAATACCGCTAGCCGCCGAGTGACCCGTGGTGTAATAATGTCCATTCCGGCTAGCGGCAAGTAATTGGGCCTTTACGAGGACGGTAGTATGCTCGACGCACGAGACCCGATCTAGAGAAATCCGCTTGCTTCAATTTCGCCATGGTAGATTCGTTACATGGGAAGCAAGCTTCATAGACGACATACATGTAGGGGACATGCTGCCCTGTAGTTGGACTAACTATGCAACCTCGTACTTGGCACAAGTTGGAACAATGTCAGATTGATCGATCGCAGACCATGAACACGATAGGCAGCGCGGCAGGGCGGATGGTTCCGTTCTTCACGCCTCCCAGGAGTGATGGCAACCTGGAACCGGAATGGCAAAGCACACGTGGATTGCGAGGACGTCTGTTACTGGCTGGCATGGATGCTACCGGTGAAAAGACCATGAGGTCTGCAACTTGGCACGCCGAGCTTGTCGACGCTGTGTGGCTAATATCATCATCCGTGGGGCCAAGGACGCCTACATTCTCTACTCTGCAGTCGTTGCTGACGCGCTCATGCTTGCTCTCATTAATGGCAACTCGTAATAACAAGCACCACCCTGTCTGTCGCTTTGATATGCGTAGGCTTTCGGGCCCGCTGGCGAGGAATGCGTCGCCCGCAAACGCATCTGCATGCACGGCTTGGACAGATTCACGGATGCGGTGGTAGGTGAGACTAGGGTTACACCCGGCCGCGGGAGTTCCGAGTTCCGTCAAGCAGGAAATGCGCTTGGAAAAGAGTAGAGCCTTTGGATGATTGCAGCGACAGCAAGGGCTACGTATTTTGCCCTCGAGCAACGCCGACCTTGAACATGACGAGCCACCGTCGACTTCGCGACTTGTATGTATGTATCATGGGAGGGGACAATCTCAATTTCCTATTCTTACTTGGCGGTGATGTTGGCCATGTCATTGAACGAGTGTATGTATGTACATGATACGGGCGTACCGAATTGAATTGCGGCTCCAATGCCAACGGCAAAACAAACCGTTGACGTGATGGTCAATGGAGTGGAGACAGCTCGGGCGACCCAGCAAGTTTCCATTTTGCCAAGATGCAGGATTTGAAGGGAGACTCCCTTGTTATGTTACCCTGAGCGTATGGCGAATGAGAGGCAATACATATGGAAAAAGGTTGTGCTGAAGAAGACAGTCCTTGCAATCATCTCCGAGAGCCTTGTCAAACGCCGGGATAGGGCAGCATGTCAGTCAACAGATGGGTTTGTACGTAAATGGCGTCAAGTATGCAGAGTGAGCGTCAAGTATGCAGAGTGAGCGCGTCAACGGTCCCACGCCAAGCCGGATAAACGCCCTTGTTCGAATTCAAGCTTGCCTGTATATGAGTGGGGTCAACTGGTATGTTATAAGCTTCAGTCCGTGCGTGGAGTCTACATACCAGTCATGACGGTGCTTCTTCCACGCCAAGTTTGGTTTTCCGCTGCTCCAACGTGGCTCTGAGACATGTCTGGTTCAGGGCCGCGACACAATGCTATTCTCCGACTTGGGGGGTGAAACCGCTTCGCCGCCCTCCAACTTGTTGTGTTTGCTGTCCGGCGGTTCTGCCTGTGTTGTAATCGATTGAATCTACTCCATCTCATCTGACAGCAGCGGAGAAAAGGAAACTGTCAAATTCTTAATCACGTCACAATGCCCTGCTTCAACAAACCCATGTTGCTCACGCTTCCATTCCTCGCCAAAGATGAATATGGGTACTCTTCCTTGCCATGTATCATCTATCATTTTTCCGAATCCGCGCCATGATGGGTAAATTTCTCTTCTGAAAGCAGGCATCGAGGGCCTTCAACGATGCCAATATTAAGCAACCTCTCCATCATGCCATTCCTTACCCACCTGGCCCATTCACTGTATGTACAGGGGCCCCCTGCACTATCTGTGGTTCTTTTCGGATACTTGGGTTTATCGCGATGCTGGCTAGATTCAATGTGAGGGATAGCATTCCTCTGGAGCCATTAGTCGCCTGATTTTGGTACAGAAACGGCAACAAGGCCCGTTGCAGGAACCGCACTTTCCGTTGAGGCTCATCGCTGTTATTCAAAACAGGTGTTGTGTTATTTAAGAGCTGATCCTCTTGGGAAGTGTGCTGGAGAAATGGGGTAGACTCGAGAGCCTTTTGAGACTCGGCACTCTCATTGTTTTCGTTTGTCCTATTCACTCGTTATACGTAGATAGTTGTCATGAGGGGAATAGCCTTCTTGGGAGCCGTCTCCCTCGCGGCTGTGACGGCGGCCGACAATGCACAGAATCCGTGTTCTGGTGTAGATGTTCACGGCGCTTGTTACCAGGCTGTTGCCGTGTGGAAGCCGGGAAATAATTTGAGGCTCGACGTCTCGGGGAAGGAAGAGATATTGCCCAACGAGATACAGGCTTGCCGAGACCGAAGGACTGCGAACGCTGCGTTGGCTTGTCGTGCTAGTCGGGTGCTGAAGAGAGCGGATGCATCATCAGAATCATCATCCCCGAGTGTTTCGGCATCAAGCACACCGGTATCTTTGAGTGTATCGGCTTCGAGTGCATCGGCTTCGAGTGCATCGGCTTCGAGTGCATCGGCTTCGAGTGCATCGGCTTCGAGTGCATCGGCTTCGAGTGCAGCAGCGTCCTCGAGTGTTTCGGCATCCTCGAGTGTTTCGGCATCCTCGAGTGTTTCGGCATCCTCGAGTGTTTCGGCATCCTCGAGTGTTTCGGCATCCTCGAGTGTTTCGGCATCCTAGAGTGTTTCCCGCTGCTCCAACGTGGCTCTGAGACATGTCTGGTTCAGGGCCGCGACACAATGCTATTCTCCGACTTGGGGGGTGAAACCGCTTCGCCGCCCTCCAACTTGTTGTGTTTGCTGTCCGGCGGTTCTGCCTGTGTTGTAATCGATTGAATCTACTCCATCTCATCTGACAGCAGCGGAGAAAAGGAAACTGTCAAATTCTTAATCACGTCACAATGCCCTGCTTCAACAAACCCATGTTGCTCACGCTTCCATTCCTCGCCAAAGATGAATATGGGTACTCTTCCTTGCCATGTATCATCTATCATTTTTCCGAATCCGCGCCATGATGGGTAAATTTCTCTTCTGAAAGCAGGCATCGAGGGCCTTCAACGATGCCAATATTAAGCAACCTCTCCATCATGCCATTCCTTACCCACCTGGCCCATTCACTGTATGTACAGGGGCCCCCTGCACTATCTGTGGTTCTTTTCGGATACTTGGGTTTATCGCGATGCTGGCTAGATTCAATGTGAGGGATAGCATTCCTCTGGAGCCATTAGTCGCCTGATTTTGGTACAGAAACGGCAACAAGGCCCGTTGCAGGAACCGCACTTTCCGTTGAGGCTCATCGCTGTTATTCAAAACAGGTGTTGTGTTATTTAAGAGCTGATCCTCTTGGGAAGTGTGCTGGAGAAATGGGGTAGACTCGAGAGCCTTTTGAGACTCGGCACTCTCATTGTTTTCGTTTGTCCTATTCACTCGTTATACGTAGATAGTTGTCATGAGGGGAATAGCCTTCTTGGGAGCCGTCTCCCTCGCGGCTGTGACGGCGGCCGACAATGCACAGAATCCGTGTTCTGGTGTAGATGTTCACGGCGCTTGTTACCAGGCTGTTGCCGTGTGGAAGCCGGGAAATAATTTGAGGCTCGACGTCTCGGGGAAGGAAGAGATATTGCCCAACGAGATACAGGCTTGCCGAGACCGAAGGACTGCGAACGCTGCGTTGGCTTGTCGTGCTAGTCGGGTGCTGAAGAGAGCGGATGCATCATCAGAATCATCATCCCCGAGTGTTTCGGCATCAAGCACACCGGTATCTTTGAGTGTATCGGCTTCGAGTGCATCGGCTTCGAGTGCATCGGCTTCGAGTGCCGCAGCGTCCTCGAGTGTTTCGGCATCCTCGAGTGTTTCGGCATCCTCGAGTGTTTCGGCATCCTCGAGTGTTTCGGCATCCTCGAGTGCCCCGGCATCTTCAAGTACACCAGCATCATCAAAAGCATCAGCATCTTCCAGCTCTCCTTCCTCAAGTGCTTCAGCATCAAGCGCCCTAGTATCTTCGAGTGTATCAGCTTCAATTGTACCGGCTTCAAGTGTATCGGCTTCGAGTGCAGTAGCGTCCTCGAGTGCCTCGGCATCCTCGAGTGCTTCGGCATCTTCAAGTACACCGGCATCATCAAAGTCATCAGCATCTTCCAGTTCTCCTTCCTCAAGTGCTTCAGCATCAAACGCCCCGGTATCTTCGAGTGTATCAGCTTCAATTGTACCGGCTTCAAGTGTATCGGCTTCGAGTGCAGTAGCGTCCTCGAGTGTTTCGGCATCCTCGAGTGCTTCGGCATCAAGCGCCCCGGTATCTTCGAGTGTATCAGCTTCAATTGTACCGGCTTCAAGTGTATCGGCTTCGAGTGCAGTAGCGTCCTCGAGTGCCTCGGCATCCTCGAGTGCTTCGGCATCTTCAATTACACCGGCATCATCGAAAGCATTAGCATCTTCCAGCTCTCCTTCCTCGAGTGCTTCGGCATCTTTGAGCTCATCAGTATCGAGTGCAGTAGCATCATCAAGGGCATCAGCGTCTTTGAGCTCATCAGTATCGAGTGCAGTAGCATCATCAAGGGCATCTGTGTCGAGTGCATCAGCTTCGAGTGCAGCAGCGTCCTCGAGTGTGTCAGCATCCTCGATTGCCCCGGCATCATCAAAGGCATCGGCATCTTCGAGCTCATCAGTATCGAGTGCAGTAGCATCATCAAGGGCATCTGTGTCGAGTGCATCAGCTTCTAGTGTAGCAGCGTCCTCGAGTGTGTCAGCATCCTCGATTGCCCCGGCATCATCAAACGCACCGGCGTCATCAAAGGCATCGGCATCTTCGAGCTCATCAGTATCGAGTGCAGTAGCATCATCAAGGGCATCTGTGTCGAGTGCATCAGCTTCTAGTGTAGCAGCGTCCTCGAGTGTGTCAGCATCCTCGATTGCCCCGGCATCATCAAAGGCATCGGCATCTTCGAGCTCATCAGTATCGAGTGCAGTAGCATCATCAAGGGCATCTGTGTCGAGTGCATCAGCTTCTAGTGTAGCAGCGTCCTCGAGTGTGTCAGCATCCTCGATTGCCCCGGCATCATCAAACGCACCGGCGTCATCAAAGGCATCGGCATCTTCGAGCTCATCAGTATCGAGTGCAGTAGCATCATCAAGGGCATCTGTGTCGAGTGCATCAGCTTCTAGTGTAGCAGCGTCCTCGAGTGTGTCAGCATCCTCGATTGCCCCGGCATCATCAAAGGCATCGGCATCTTCGAGCTCATCAGTATCGAGTGCAGTAGCATCATCAAGGGCATCTGTGTCGAGTGCATCAGCTTCTAGTGTAGCAGCGTCCTCGAGTGTGTCAGCATCCTCGATTGCCCCGGCATCATCAAACGCACCGGCGTCATCAAAGGCATCGGCATCTTCGAGCTCATCAGTATCGAGTGCAGTAGCATCATCAAGGGCATCTGTGTCGAGTGCATCAGCTTCTAGTGTAGCAGCGTCCTCGAGTGTGTCAGCATCCTCGATTGCCCCGGCATCATCAAACGCACCGGCGTCATCAAAGGCATCGGCATCTTCGAGCTCATCAGTATCGAGTGCAGTAGCATCATCAAGGGCATCGGTGTCGACTGCATCAGCTTCTAGTGCAGCAGCATTATCAAGCGCATCGCCTTCATCAGAGGCATCGGCATCTTCGAATTCGTCAGCATCATCAAGCGCATCGCCATCATCAAAGGCTTCAGTAGCCTCTAGTGCATCAGCGTCCTCGAGTGTATCAGCTTCGAGTGCTTCAGCTTCAAGCGCTTCGGCATCATCCAGGATTCCCTCATCTTCCAGCGCCGCAGCCTCATCTAGTGCCTCTGCTTCCTCAGGCCCAGCATCGTCGAGCGCGTCGGCTTCATCCAGTGCTTCCGCGTCGTCAAGGGCTTCGGCGTCAAGCTTTCCATCTGTTTCAAGCAGCCGCGCCTCTAGCATCACGGCTTCTTCAAGCGTTTCCGCATCGTCGAGTGCCCCGGCATCATCCAAAGCAGCGTCCTCGAGTGTTGTAGCAAAGTCCAGTGTTTCGGCCTCGTCCGTCGTCTCATCCAGCTCTCCGGCATCGCGTGCTACAGCGTCCTCGAGCGTTCCGGCATCGTCCAGTGCCAAGTTTTCCAGTGCCTCGTCATGGGCAAATGCCACATCGGCTCAGACATCACTTTCTAAGCCGGCGTCATCATCCAGTGCGCCAGCTTCTTCGATTGCGTCGGTCTGGTCCAGTGCTACTAGTACCTCATCTCAACCGGCGCCATCTAAGCCCGTGTCATCTCACGTCCCAGCTTCTTCAAGTGTGCCGGCCCGGTCAAATTCTACGTCATCCCAACTGGCTTCTTCCAGGCCGGCATCGTCCAATGCCCCGGCTTTTTCGAGTGTCCCCGTGGGGTCGGATGCCACATCGTCTCAGCAATCAACTTCTAAGCCGGCATCATCCAATGTCCCTGCTGGCTCAAGTGCGCCAGTCTTGTCAAGTGCAACATCTCAACCGGCATCATCTAAGCCAGCGTCATCCAGTATCCCAGCTCCTTCAAGTGCGCCAGTATGGTCAAATATCCCATCGTCTCGGCAATTGCCTTCTGAGCTGGCATCATCCAATGTCCCTGCTGGCTCAAGTGCCCCAGTATGGTCAAATGCTACATCATCTCAACAGCTATCACTATCCAAGCCCACGGCACTGAGCCAGTTGGCATCGAGCGTTCCGTCGAATGTATCAGCACCATCATCAAAGTCTGCTTCTGGAGGCATCCCGGCGTCATCAAGTGCGCCCGCTTCTTCCGCCGTCTCGGCATCATCGAATGTCGCAGATTCGTCCAAGCCGGCGTCGAGCGCCCTGGCATCATCTGGCAAGCTTTCTAGCGGACCAGCCTCATCGGCCAAACCATCTTCTGCTGCGCCTTCGCCTGAGAGTCAGCCCAACAGGTCATCATTCGTCAAACCCTCCTCGTCCGGCGGACCTTCAACCCAGACCGCTTCGCCCGGACAGCCGTCCTCAACAGAGCACATTCCATCACACCCTGCTTCATCAGGAAATCCCCAGCCATCCCTCTCCTCTCAGCCGCGAAGCGTTGGTCCCTTTGACTTTGTCGGGTGCTTCCGATCTTCTAGGGGCTTTCCCACCTTTCAAAAGGTTGCCTCGAGCAATGTCATGAGCTTAGACCTGTGTGCCTCTAGCTGCCCTTCATCATTGTTCGGAGTCTACGACACGTGAGTCAACACCCCCTCCTCTTTCTTTCACAGGATCTTGAACTCATCACTAACAACATGTAGCGACTGCTACTGCGGCCAAAGGATTGAGCCAAGTGACAGCAAGGTCAACGACGCTCAATGCGACAAGGTTTGCCCTGGCAACAAGGGCCAAATATGTGGTGGCAAACTAGGACTCGGTCGTCGCGGTGAAGTTCCCGCGGACCAGCTCCTCTCTGTTTATGGGCGCAGGAATGACAGTCCTACCACGGCGCTCAAGGTCGTGACCAGCACCCAAGTCATCACCATTACGTCTTGCCCGCCTGTAGTCACAGACTGCCCCATCGGCCAGAAGACCACAAAGACTTGGACTGCCACAGTCGCAGCCCCCCCTCAGCAGGGCCCCGAAGAGTGGCACAAGAAGGTCATGACGTGCTACGGTGACTACTGCGTTTCTGGTCACGACTGTGATGAATGCCAGCATACTCGTGTTGTCTTTGACGGCGTCAGATACCAGTGCGAAACTGCCCCGGATTCCAACTCGCACAGACTTGTTCACTGCAAGGATGACGAGTGCAAGTACTCCAAGTGCCATGGCGATCGTTGCAACCAAAAGGTTGTCTGCTGGGACGGCCAATGCACACCCGAAGCCTGCTACGGTGACGAGTGCAACAAGAAGCTGGTTTGTAACAACGGCCATTGTGAGCATCAGCCTTGTCACGGTGAGGACTGCCACAAGATGTGGGTTTGCAACCATGGCGAATGCACAGCTCAGCCTGGTTGTACCGGTGATTGTGTTGCTCCTCCGCCTGTAAAGCCTGCTCCCGGTGCTTCACCAAGCTCTGGCCCTTCATCCGGCTCTGGTTCACCTGGTTCTAGTCGTCCCAAGGGTTCTGGCTCACCAGGCTCCGGGTCAACCGGCTCTGGTTCACCTGGTCTTGGTTCACCAGTATGGTCCGACTCAGGCAAACCTGGGAGCAGCGGCAATTCTGGAAAGCCAGGGGACTCTGGCAGTCCCGGCAACAAAGCAGGCACTGGACATGTCGAAGGTCCCGGCAAGGCTGGCAACGGCGGCAGTGCCAGTCACAAGGAAGAACCCAACAAGCCCGGTAACAGCGGAGCTGCTGACCACAACGACCGTCTTGGCGAGCCCGGCAACAAGGCAGACGCTGGCCATGACCAAGGCCCTGGTACGTCCGGTCAGAAGGGAGGTTCCGGCAACGTTGGAAGTTCCGGCAACGTTGAAAGTTCCGGCAACAAGGGAAATCCCGCCAGCCCTAGCAATTCTGGCAGCAAGAACCGTCCCGCCGGAGTCAAAACTGCGGCACAGCCCAAGAACACCTCGCCAGTAGTCGCCGGTTCCAGCAAGAGCGCAGTTGCTTTCCATATCCTGGCTGCCGCTCTTGGGCTAGCGCTCATGATGTAGATGCCGCTCCGAGTCAAGCTTGAACTCTGGGCACATCGCTTAGATTAGTATCCTAAACCGAATAGATAGGCCTTAATTTCTTTATATTCCATTTATTGTGCGTGTTACCAGTGAATGCTCTACTTGTAGTCTAGCAGTTTTGGCACTTTCATGCTTCCCTCACAAGTTCGCCTCCTTGCTCCGCTATCCTATCAAGGGGGCTTTTCCCTACAACGAGATTTGCTCTTCGCCGCAGGAGCGCAGAATGAGCTTCTCTGACATGAAGAGCAATCCTGATTCTATATAACATGGCGTGGCCCCAAGGTCCATTCGTCTCCCCTGCATGGTCCTGATAACGGCTCTTGTCAGACACAAATGACCTCCGAACACCGCATAAACATGATCAACATGACCTTCCCAATTAAAGTCATTAAAGAGCCCTGGTTCTTATTAGGTCGATAAATACTCAGCAATGTCCAGATCGAATCCGGTCCGAATCGTGCTAGACCTACACAAGGGCATGTCCAAACTCGAATAGCCAATTTCAGAGAGCAGCGTTGGCTGTTCGAGGCATACAACTTTCCTTTCACTCAAATGCCTTGACTAACAATCGCTTCCGACGTGGCATGTACAAGTTCCTTTTCACCCTCTCTCAGTCTCAGTCTTGTCAATGCGCGACCCAATAATAATAATCTTGGTTCTGCTATCGCCTCTGTTCAAATGTCCCCAAGATCCCAGCGCCGCAACCAAACATGCGATGCTGCGACATGCTCCCCCAATACTTTACGCTTCAACACCAGAGGCTGCTGCTGGCAGTTCAAATCGGATTTGATGAATAGGAATATTGCCTGCGTCCCCAACGTAGTCTACGAGGGTTGCCTTCGCATGCGACACATCACTAGAGGCGCGCATCTTCTTTATGGGCACATGGACCATGTCCAGAGGTCTTCAGAAACACATTTACAACTCAAAATAACAAATTGGTTGGACCAAAATGACGCAGGCGCGGTACGATAAATTCCGTTAAAAAGTAAATGTCATATACCCAAACTACTTCTCCATCTGGATAAATCTTTAATATTTAAAGCACGAATCAGAATGCTCATTCACAATCCTCCAAAAAAAAAAAAAAAAAGAAGAAGAAGAAGAAAAGAAAGAGGAAGAAGAAAAGAGAAAAAAGGCTTCTGGACATTGCGAGCATATTGCCCAAAAAATGCCTTTCTAAAGCACAAAGGGTATCACCGATAGAATCGAATTTAAAAACACAAAAACCAGATGGCGGCCTGCAGAGTAGCAGAACATTAGATTGCTTTTGAGGAGCCTTCCGCAACAAAGAGGCATCCCGGCTTCCGCCATCCTTGGTCATTCGCGTGTCCTCGTGGCACTGGGCTTCTCGCACCCCGTGAACAGCACAGCTGAAGACTTGTTGAAAGGTGGCCAATAAAGTAACATAAAATATATATTCATCCAGCAAACACACACAAGAACCATGTATAATGAAATCTTGAGTTACCAGCGCAGCGCAATCGACGACGCATGTCTTGTTGCTAGTGCAGGAAATTGAACGTCGAAGGGGAGGGAAAGAAGGGATCAAGTTTTGGCCGGCGCTGCTACATCGCGAGTACGTATGTCACTAGCGCAATGGCTAGGACTTGTTGATCAACGAAGCAAGAGTGGGCGTCATGTCCATTTGTGAGCGTGCGTATTAGTTGAGACATGTTTCATAGAGTCGAACGATTATGCGCTTCCTCTGCGGCCGTGAATTCGTCATGATCATGGTGCATCATGTAGATGGAGTCGTCGAAATTTGCCCATGGCTGAAAAAGAATTTGCAACGAAAAAAAAAAGTTTGACAAAGGTACTAAAATGGTCGACCGAGATGGCGAGATTACCACCATAAAATGCCGAAAATGAGTGTACGGACCCAACTCGGAGTCTTACTCATGTCTCAACCCTTCGTCCCCCGTAGGATCCATTATACACGAGCCTGATTTACATCAGTGCAACAACAAACATGCCAGCAACACCAGCCAAGGCGATCTTGGTGGCCTCGAGGACACCAGCAGCATTCTCGGGTCCTTTCGAGGCAGGAGCTGGTGTAGTGGTGGCAGCAGGGGGTGTGAAAGACGTCATCCCACCAGTGGGCGCATAGGTAGTTGAGTTGGCGGCCCAGGTTGAGGTAACGGTATGGACTTGAGCGAGGGTGATGGTCTTGACCAAGGTCATGGTGTTGGTGTAAGTGTATGTCGTTGGTGCGGCGCTGGTGTCGGCAAGAGCCAGGGCCGGCAGAGCGGCGACAACCAACTTGATCAGGTGCATTTTTTGCTTTCTTTGGTCTTTTCGTGTGCGTTTTGTTTTCCAAGTTGCGATTCTGTTCTTTGATGACGGCTTTGCCCAGAACAGAAATTGCAATGAAACTGCCAACTAGGACACGAGACAAGCGGGCCGGTGTAGATCGACGTCGTGCATATATAAGACGGACTTGAGATGAACACAAACCGCAACGGTGAGTATCGGAACAGAATGAAGAAACAATTCCAGTCGTGACAGTGACAATCGTTGTAACCGGGTCTGGTCTGGCCGTTCCTTCGGTTTGGGGAGAGCGAGAGCGGTGAAGGGATCCTTAAAGCAGCCCGATGTGTCGTCGTGTGGGTTCAACCCAGAATGAATGACTTGGGTGAAACGCAGAATGTATAGGCTTTGCCAACGAAGCCGTGACAGTGGCGCAAGCGAGCAGGACGAAGCGAAGCGTGGTGTCGACGAAGAGAGAAGAAGAACATTTGAAGCGTCGAGGAGACGGGGGCAACAGCCATTAGTATGTTAGGCGTGGGGGCCAGCTGAGAGGGCCAAATAGGCCAAAGAGGCCCAACCCAAAAATGAGGGCGACTGGTGAGACAAACAAGAGACCAACATTGTGCGAAGGAGGGCCGCCCAACGCTCTTTCCTCACCTGTGCACCCACCCGCCCGCCGGAGTGGTTTGTCTTCGTCCTGGATGCCCTGGCTGCCCTCCAATACCGCGCTGGCTAGTTCACAGCTAGGCGGCGCCTCATTGGCGCATTTTGACCGATAGTTGACATCGGACCCATGTGCCCCATGCACCCAAGGCACCCCCATGTACCCCTTGACTGCCACGATGTGTCGAAATACCTGGCCCACACGGTGAATTCTGCTCCAGCAACCATGTCGCGTGAGTTGCCGGGCAGGGACCAGACTCTATTTCCCTCGTGGGAAGGAAAGCACGAGGGCGGCTCCGCTTCCCTTTCCATGCCGTCCCTGCCAATTTGCAAACTCCTTTGTCTGACTCGGTTCCGAAACTCACGATGCAACAATCAGCTCAACTATTACCTTGGTTACCGCAATACTCAGTACAGTAAGGCAACGTGTTCTTCACAAATCTTCACAAACGGCTTCTGTGCCATCAGCGCCGTCCTGCTCGTGCCGCGCAACGCGCTACATAACAATCCCGAGACGTGTTCGCTGAGGCCACGTTAATGGAATTGAGTTGTGTCAAACTTGGACCGGCGCACAGTTAATGCGTGAAACGGCACTGACCTGCCTGTTGCAGGTGGACCGAGTACCGAGCACGTACTCCGTAAACTTGATTGCGATTATGTCTCTCCATGGCTATTCATTGTTTCAGTCACGACCCTCCCTCAGTCAAAAACCTCGACTTGCACGCTCACACGCACGGACTTGGACTTGGACTCTCTCGCGCGGGCCAATTTGGTTTCCGCCCTCGGTTTCAAGGAGTAGAGACGCAGGGCAAGCGCTATTGTTTATATGAAAACACGCTTGCTGCTGGTAATTCCGGTGCGAAGAGTGGAAGCCCTCATGATTATGTCACTCGATGACGTCTTTTTTTTGTCTTTTTGCAACGGCGAATCGCTGTTCGCATGACAGGTAATCCTTGCTTCGACCGTCAGCATGAATACTCGTGCAGTCAAGCATCATGCTCTCCCCGCGCCAGCCGCGATTTGCATTGCGAACTTTGAGACGGCCCCGTGGAATTTAAAATTTGGATAATTTCCTTCTCTTACATTGATTGGGTCAATTCTGCTCGCCCACCAGCCATATTCTCCAAATGGCAATTTGCGTTCCTGACACTTTGCCTGTTTCGGATGTCACATCCACTCCCCCAGTCAATGTCTCGAGTCAATGGTTTGAATACTCGGCACAAATATTTTCTCTACTAGTCCAGCCTTACAAAAGACATTGATTGGGCAACTCCAGCCCATGGACTCGCTGAGTGATAGGTTCCGGTCGGGCCCTTGAGCTACTATCCTCGTGCAACTTTCGGCATCAACCGCTAGTTTCGGTCTCCCCTCTCTTCATGTGTTGGGCGTCTGTCCACGCAACAGGAAGAGGCCGTCATGGGTCAATCATGCACATCTCCCTCAAGCCAATGGATCTGCCAAGCCTCGCCAAATGATGATTAGATTGCCAAGCGAATCGCTGGGCGGGTGCGGCAGAAAAGAAGCAATTTCGCCTCTTGTTGCCCCAGCTTCGTCTTACACACAACGCCAAAATCATTGCATCCTCATTTCCGTTTCGCGCCCAGCTTTGATGACGATCTTCTTCAGACAATCAAGAGCCCAGCGATAGCCCGTGCTTTATCCGCCATACTTTTCCCGACACGCTTCGTTGTGTTCCATGTTTCAGGCTCCATCACGTAACCCGTGTTACATCGGGGCATTTGTGCATATTACATAGAAACATGCTTGAAATGAGATGCCTTTTTGGTCGGAAGCATCATGGCTTTTGTTTGACCTTGCTCCGTATGCTGTCAACGAATAACACGATTAGAGGATTCCATAGCTCCATGAGTCTATGCCCTCTTCTCTCCCCCGACCATCTTTGCATCACCACCATCGCATCGTCATTGATATCGTCGTCCACAAGAATATCAAAGCCTACTCCCCTTGATCATTTCTCTCTCGGCGCACTCATAAACAGTCCCCGCCTACTTGCTTGGATGGAACTCGCCATCCCAACCATCTTCCAACTGCGCCGCCCATCAAGATTGATCTAGGTGCGCTTGACTAAAGAACCCTGGTACAAGATGGCGAGCAATCTGTCGGCATTCTATGAGAAGCAGAGTTGTTTGGCGTACCGGTTACGGGACTGCCCCAGCCCCCTTCACGTCATGGACCGCCACGCATCTCAGGAAGCAAAAGCAACGTATCTGACACTCAATTTTGATGAGCGAGAAGCAGTCATTAATAAACTACATGTGGCGTGTGCTTGAGCAAACACGGAAACAGATGAGCCCGTTGAACTTTGAGCCCGCAGGAAAAAATCTTTATCTGATACTACCAAAGAGTCCATGCGCTACAAGTCTGTCAAGCTTGCAGGCCAAACATGGTGTTTTTAGGACAAATTCCACTCGGCCAGTTGAGCAGTCTCTACATGCCAATTGGCGCACGGGATGTCAACTCTCTTGTTTCCAATACTTTCTCGATCCATTGTCAAGAAGTTCAGTAGGCATGAAATCGCCAATGAATATCCGCATCATGGCAACTCAGGGTGCATAGCATTCGGTTGTATATACCCGATCCATGAAGGCTTCCTCTCGCCCCCAAATGTTCCCGCGCGCCACATAGTAAAAGAAATGTCCAAACGTTCAATTCCCACGAGGCTTGTCATCTGGACGGGTATATCTCGGGATATTTGTATGACGACTTGATATGAATATGATTTCGGTGATATCGGGTGTGTATTTGCGACTGTTAAGATTTCGCAAGAGCACAGTATGCGGTGGAATTATATTTGCCATGGCCCTCAGTACGCTAGCTTCTCCGTGTTATTAGTCCTAATGTGCTGCCTTGTTTGGGATACCTTTATAAGTCTCTAGGTCTCGTAGGCCCGTCCTCACTATACGCGTGATGGATAATCCTCGGTGATTGCCAGTCTTTCTTCTTGGAAAATACGCCCCGGCCTTACGCAGAAATGACATGACAGATTTCCAGCCCAATAACAGTCTTGTTTGGAGGCGAAATATTACAACATGCGTGCTGAGACCTGTTCTCCCGTTGCAGACTTCAGCACAGCAGTCAGCACAACACGTCCAATGCGTAACGAGCCGTCGCCATCACTGCTGTTTCAACAAAATGATGCATTGATTGTTACTAAGAGTATTCATATGCTTGGCATGGGCCAATCTTTATCCGCAAATAGTGTGTTCCCACAGCCTGTGCGGTTTGTATATGGACAAGCCGGTTCCGCAGACATTATTCCCGTGAGCAACATGGAGAATTTGATTTCAAAGTACAATGGTATGTGTTCGTGCCCCGGGTTGGAGTGCGCAAAGGGGCTCTGCTTCGCATCACGCAGTGGCCAAACTTGGTTCGATGATCTGCATATCTTTCTGTCTTGGGCATATGTATTGTACGCTGGAATCACGTCTTTTCCATTGGCTTGTCCACGGGTATCAAAAGACGCGCGGGCGACCCGCTAATAGTTCAATCCTCTTGTCCCCCCAAGAGACATCAGATCACCATGTATGTCTCCAAAACATGATAAGTAATCCGGACTTCGAGGCTTGAAGAAACATAGACATAAATTGAGAGAAAATTCATCATTCAGGCATGAAACTATATATCCTGGGTATCAACTGCCGTTGATCATGTGGAGAAATATACAAGTATCCCTGTAAAGCTCATCAGAAACAAAACGAACGCATCTTGGGATATTCTCAACCATATTTGCAACCAAACAACCTGCACTCGTATCTCGTCAGGCATTTTCCCGTCTATGCAAGCCAGTACCATGCCTTCTGCAGCCAATTCTTGGCGATACGCGGCTCTTCTATGGCTTCCAGCTCATCCATCTCCTTCTTGCCTGTGAGAGCATCGATCTTGTCGACAGGGATATACAGGGAGGTTCGGAACCAAACCTTGTGGCCAATATACAACATGAGGAAAATGGGCAACGTAATGTATGCAGCCACAAAATCCTTGGCCTTAAAAGGCATGAAGGTTTGGAATCCATTGGTGATGGTGAGAACAGTGACGACCGCCAGTGCAGCATATGTCACGTATGGCTGGAGCGGAGTCTTGTAGGGTAAGCTGTGGAAGAGGTGGTTGTAGAACATGGCGCGGCGGAAACGCAGGTAGGTGATCATAACAATGATCCAGGCAACAAAACCGGAGATGGTGGAGATGTTGGTAAACCAGGTGAAGACTTCGGCGCCAGAGTTGGAAACGTTGAGATAGGCTAAAAGACCAATGGACCAAGTTGCAAGAACTGCAACCCAAGGAACACCATTTCGGTTGGTGATACGAAACAACTTGGGAGCCTGGCCGTTGAGTGCCATGGAGTA